CAGGTCAGAGGGTAGGACATGAGGCAGAGAACTCTGACCAAACGATGGTCAATAGGTACCTGGTCTGTGCACCATTGTATTAGTATATATAGTAGGGAGTCTGAGGCAGGGAACCTCAGACTTGATCTTCTCGTCGATTCCCCATCTCCTCTGTAGGTAGCTAGCAGCCCTACCTCCCTCACTACCCCTTCTAGTCTAGGGAATACATCTCTTCACATCTCTTGCTGTGTCACCTCTGGTTGCTTCGCTTCTCAGCACCAACCTCTGCATCAGTAAGCTTTGCCCTTGTTTGTTTTGGTGGCACAGCTCGTTGGCTGTGACACATGGTCTCCCGCCAGACTGAGTCGTGCAAAGTGAAAGTATATACGTACTGTCCATCCCCTCCCTGCGCACGTCCCCCTGCCCTCTCCCAGCCTCGACCCGTCTCCCGACGTCGATATATCGCAGAGTGCTGATGGTCCATGTGAGCAGGCACGCTATATGAATAATGCGATTGCGGTGCTGGGCCAAAATCATGGACGTGGACCCTGCGCCCGTGTACGAGATGCAGAGGCCCACCAGCGAGGTCTGCCATATGATATCAAGGTTTCGCACCTGTACGGAACGTGAGGTGAGCTCGCCGCAAGCGGGGAAATCAGAATGAGCTAGAACACGCACGACCCAATCTTCCAACGTCTGCCACTGCATGCTGGTGCGGCCGCACGCTCCGTCGTTGACGACCGTCTCCATATACCGCAGCAACGGCATGGAGCTCTTCATCCACCCCAGGAACACCTCCGAGACCATGTGCGAGTGCATGACGGAGAGCACGACCGGGTTCACCTTCTCCATGAGCAGGAGCGTCTTGAGGTCGTTCTGGGACCCTGACCTCGCACCAATCGGGTACTGTAGTTGCAGCCGCCGCACTTGCGAGGGGAACAGCGGGATAGGGGCGCTCGTCTCAAGATAGTCTAGCTCCGGCCAGCAGACCACCGGCCCCATCTCCTACTTGACGGAGAACTCCATGTGGAACATGAGGCGGCGGAGGTTGGGGAATGCGCGGGCGAGCTCGGATATCTTCGCAATGCGACCGCCGATGTTGAGCGTGTGCACGTCCGGCCAGACGTGTCGGTCGATGACGCTCTCGAGCATGTAGCCGCACTCCCAGAGCCGGATGTGCCACAGCGACTCGACGTACCGTCCGAACGGCGTCACGTCGCCCTGCGGCCGCGGGCCGTCCTTCCACAGCCCGTTTTCGATGACCTGCAGCTTGCCCTGGAGCTGCGAGATCGCCTTGAGTCAGGTGTTGCCGATGTAGTACAACGAGAGCACCTTCAGCCGGTCGAGCTTCGTGATGGCCGCGTAAACGGCCGGATGCGACTGGAAGAGGGGCTCCGCGTCGCGTATGTGAAGGACGCGGAGGTTCACCGCGGTGGACAGGCCTTTGGCAACAAGGCCGGCAGGAGAGAAGTCTGCGCCCCATCCAGACCGTCCGCCAGAGCTAGCAGGGCAGGCGAACGCGCCGTCGAGCAGACGCAGCGCGCGTAGGGCCTTGGCGAACTCTGGCTTGTTGAGCATGAACTGGCAGAATTTCGCGAGACCGTCGGGGCCGTCATCGACACCGGGGTCACCGATGGAAACGTCTGAGACGATGTGGGGCATGGCAAAGCCAGAGGCAGCCTTGCATGTCAGCGCGAGTTGGAGCGCATCGTCGACAGGGCAGGAGTTGATGATTGCACGGAGGACGTTGTGAGGAACGGAGCGGGTGGATGCGTATCCGATACTCACCTGTCACGCTTGCTCAGTGGGTGTCTTCCCTGCCTCCCCTTCCATCGCGCTCTCAGCTTCATCACTCCTGCGTTAACCAGGCGGCCAGGGCATCAGAGGGCGATCGTAGGTGGAGCGAGAGACCGAGACAGATGAGAAGTCGTTTGGGGGGGAACGCGGTCCTGTTGAGGGGAATAGGGGTGCGACGCGTCAAGTTGTTGATCAGCGGAGGGGTTGGGACGACCTAGGATGGGTCCATGCCCTGAGGGATCTGTGCTGGGACGCAGGTACCGTTCTGAGGGGGGTCGCGGGCGAGATGGCGTTCCCAGGGTGGGGCGATGGGGTAGGGATGGTGGTGCATCGACTTGTCGGGGATGTTGTGTGGAGGTAGTGGTAGAGAGCGAGCTGCGCTCTGTTCTGGAGTCCGACGGAGGTAAGAAGGGCGA